CGGCCTGCGGACTGACGGGTCACAGGTTCGATTCCGGTCAAGGACATGTACCTTGGTTGTGGGCACATCCCCAGTAGGGGGTGTGCAGGAGGCAGCTGGTCGATGTTTCTCTCTCATCGATGTTTCTAGCTCTCTATCCCTCTCCTTTCCTCTCTGTAAATAATCAATAAAATATATTAAAAAAAAAAAAAAAGTAAATTTATGCTGCAGAGCATTACAATTCTAATTACCCCCATAAAACATTACAAGACACCTTAAGATTCACCCATTCCAAGCCAGGCCATTTCACACAAGTATCTCAATTTCCTCTCCTGTAAATGAACTGGATTAAATTGTAAGATGGCTTTAAGCTCTTTTTAAAAAAGTCTTAAATTCTGTAACAGAATGGTAATAAAATAATGGCCATATTGTTTTAGGTTAACCTTTCAAAAGTATTTACTAATTTTTTAAAAGATGAAACACTACTAATCTTTAATTCTAACCGTAATTTAAGAAATTACATAAAATTATGACAAAGTGTATGTTACACAAAATGTATTTTTATACCAGTATCTGCCACATAGGAATTATCCTACCGTACAATAATGTGGCTAGGTTAAAACAACCCATTCTCCTTGTAATATTTAGGATTCTGCCTTGATCCCAGAAAAAGATACCCCTATTATCACATGAGGGAATTCACATCTTCTTTTCAAATTCAAATTTATTTTTTTTTTTTAATATATTTTATTGATTTTTTACAGAGAGGAAGGGAGAGAGAGAGCTAGAAACATCGATGTGAGAGAGAAACATCGACCAGCTGCCTCCTGCACACTTCCCACTGGGGATGTACCCGCAACCCAGGTACATGCCCTTGACCGGAATCGAACCTGGGACCTTTCAGTCCGCAAGCCGACGCTCTATCCACTGAGCCAAACCGGTTTTGGCTCAAATTCAAATTTAAATACTTCCCTATGGCACACACACAGCACACACAGGCAGGCAGAGAAGAACAAATTAAGCATTATAAATGCCTGTTTTTTCTAAGACAAGGTAAATGCAAAACCAAGTAAGCTTGTCCTCTGCATTGCAGAGGAATAGTTCATGCAATCAATGAAGAACACATCAGAGACTTTAACTGTCAAGAAAAACTTCAGATGTTAGCCCCCAAAAAAAGATTTTACCTACAAAATGGTTAATGTTTTTATTTCAAATACTTAAAAGAAACTCTGTACAACAGCTGCACTGAAAATTCTAAGTAGAGATACACTGCATGCTCTGGTAAGAAATGTTAGCCTAACAAAAGCATCCTTTTTCTGATTATTATTTAACTGCAAAGATATAAAGATCAAGGAGACTTTAGGGAGTGGCATGAAAATCAGCACACTTTAGCTAACACATCTGGTCACATATTGTTACATAGATGTCAGGCTGTTTTGCAAGAGAACATTGGTTAATCTTTCATCTACCAAAGTCACTAATGTATATTAATCCCATTATATTTACAAAGTGTATAGCAATTGTAAATATTATCTATTAAAACACCCTTTATTCTGCATCATATCTGATTACATCTCACCATATAAATGAGTTCTCTCTTCAGTTAAAATTAAGACTTGATTTCAAAATATCATCTTGCAGCCTTAGCTGGTTTCGCTCAGTGGATAGAGCCTCGGCCTTCGGACTGAAGAGTCCCAGGTTCGATTCCAGTCAAGGGCATATGCCCCAGTTGTGGGATTGATACCCAGTAGGGGGCGTGCGGGAGGCAGCCACTCAATGATTCCCTCTCATCATCGATGTTTCTACTGCCCTCTCCCTTCCTCTCTGAAATCAATAAAAATATATTTTTTAAAAAATAATAATTAAAGTTATATAAAAAATCAACTTTCACAGCCTAGGGCGCAATTTTATACCAATAAACTGATGAAAACTAGGCAATCACTCAAAATTCATTATTATTTATACTTTAATCAGTTAAAATATTTGTAAATGGAGTGTTACACTAGATTAATTTATAGCTGCATTTCTTCTCTCTGCTAAACATTCATGTAATTATTATAAGCCCAAATTTCAAAAACTACCAGGCCATTTAGTTGCATTACATAATAGGACGGTATTTCATCAATGTTAAGTTTGCGTTCTCACTGAACAGATGCTTGGGGTTTCCTCTAATGACTGGGCTTACTAGGAAATTAACAAATAACTTTCTTTTTTAAGTAAAGTGAAATAAAAATTGCAATTATGCCTTAATGTAAGTGATACTACATATCTGGTAGTCATTTTTGTCAGGATACTTGATTTTTAGAACCCATGGAAAAAGTCATTTTGTCCAGAAGACAAATACAGCTCAAATATCAGTTGCTAAGTAGACTGAAGTAAAAAGAAATCCAGTTATACACAGTATCTTACTTTATCCCCTAACAGTTTCTAAACAAAGTTCAAAACCAGTTTGTAAAGTAAATCCTATTTTAGGTGTATTAAGAATGCTCACTCCCTATTACAAAAATGAATCACTTCAGTCCTTTCATACACCAAATCATCTAGATATAAAAAAGTATTAAGTTTCTCAAAAGTAAAGCGTCAAGTTTTAATAGTAATTAAGTCACATCAATACTGACAATTTATTTCACAAATAGGTAGCTCCAAGTCTGTGAGTTATCAAAATGCCTCACTTAACTGTAATTTGACCTTTCCGATATCTAGCACCCAAAACACTTAAGACCAGAAAAGATATGAAATACATTTGTTACTTTGTATACTTTCTTAAATCCCCATTCAAGGGAATTTTTCAGTACTTACTAGCCTAGTCTATAACCGCCGTAATATTTACATTACTTTTTCCTTTGTAACTTGGGAGGAGGGGCAGAGAGGTGGGCAATGTACAGCTTACAGTAATATCAGCCTATGCAGGAGTGACCTGTCATGGTTCAGGCACTCCTAAGGCTTATAAACTAGATTTCTATTTGTTTCCAATACACTTGAACACTAGTCTCTAACGGTCACTTCACAACTAAGCTAGCTGTTTATCTGCACCTTTATATTAATACCTTTGAAGAATTATTTTTAGTCATTAAAATATAAATGTCTATACTTAAAATATTACATCATTAATATTTATCTTTTGATTCCTAAAAGGAATCAAGATTTCCTAGGAAATCTGAAAATGAAATCATTCACGCATCAACCAGATTAACAGATTTACTGCTTTAAGCGGTTTTTAAGAGATATCTAAGTCTCAATTTCAAATAGAATGCCAAAAACTAAATCAGATGGCCGACTCAGACCAATACTGGCCTTGGCCATGGTTATTCTATTACATATTTGAATGTAGCTACTTTACAATTAAAATACTTTTGTTGCCTTATTGCTATTCATAAATCTATTACTGCAATCATTTATAATAAACAACACTTGTTTGACAAAACAAAGGGTCAGAAAAAAAGATAGAAATCCATAATTAGAGAGCATCTCTCAATTGAAAATAATGTCCAAGAAATCCAAGTAAAATTCCCAATACTAATGAGACAAAGTATCAAATATAAAAATATTGTTTTAAAATTCAAAAAAGTAAAATGAATCATTAAATGAGCCATTAAAATAAGTCCTATATATCATCAGCTTTCTTCAAGCCCAAACTTCCCACAGCCCAAATTTTAGCCTCATCATCTTAAGTAACACTATTAGATGGCTAGCAAAATAAACACTTTTAAATGACTTCCTCAAAATTCAAGGTCATAATCAGTTTTACTAGAGACAGACCAGCAGAAGTTATCAAATCAAAGTTATTTTTCTTTTTAAGGTAAAAGACAAAAAGTTTGCAAAACAGTCACTGATGTAATTACCCCATTTTCTGTACTGAATCTGTTTCTCCCTTTTCACCTCCAATCGTACGAGGGGTGAACTGCATTCCCTCCGCCTAAACCTTCCCTCTATAGACACATGCACACACGTGTGTCCCCCTAAAACAGTTGATACTCTGTCCTGGGCTGAAAGCATAAAACAAAAGGCTGCCTTGAAGATGAAGCTCATGGTGTGATCTAGAATGACTACTGAATCCAAAATGCTGTCGGAGTGGCTCTGGGGTTTTTTTCTTGTTTTTTTGTTTTGTTTTCGGAGGGGGTCGAGGAGGCCAGCCGGGCGGCTGCCCGGTCTCTCCCTCCCCCTCTGCTTTCGCTTTGTGCTCACAATGCAGCTCCAGCAAAGCGCTTCCCTCTCCCCGCAGCCGCCGCCATGTTAGCCGCGTCTCCATGTGCCCAGAGACCTAACGAGCCCCTGGACACCCAGGCCCACCCCCCAACGGATCCCAAGCGGTGCGGTCTCCCTCCCGCCCCTCCTCAGGGTCCCCAGGGGACAGAACGCCGCTCCAGGCCGCGTTCTCGGGACCCAGTTGAGCGGGAGGCTCAGGGGGCACCTAGACAATTGAAACAAAGAAGGAAGCGTAGGGGAGCCCATCCGATGGGGGCGGGGGAGCAGACGGGGACCCGCTCACCAGGGGCTGGACGAAAAGCTATCCTAGTTCACGATCCTAAGCACACTCCCTCCCTCGGGGGGCGGGGGGCACTGAGCAGGCCTCGAGTGCACAGTAACGGAGTGGACACCCCCGGCCGGAGGACGCAGGCCGCCCGACTCCACGAGGCAGGCCGTCTGCCGAGTCCTGAGCCCCCAGCCCGGGATCGCGCTCTCCCCGCTGGCCCTACTCCAAGAATTCGGGCCTCGGTGACCCGGAAAAGGGCCTCAGTTACATCTGGCGACAGGGCAGATCCCCACCCTAACACTGTCCACTCCCAAAGGCTCCGAGGCCTGGCCCACGGCAGGGGGGCAGTAGCCAGAGTCCACGGGTCAGGTGACAAGCACCTCCCCTGCCAGCCCGTTTTCTGGGCACGAAGCTCCCATTGACTGTGAACTGGAAGCAAGGGGGGGAGGGGGGAGCAAGCGGAGGGGCAAGGCCGGAGACGAGACGGAAGGATAGAGCAGTCAGGGTCGGAGCATCAAACCCTCCCTCCCCCGCCAATTCTCAGCACCTTTTTCTTCTCCAGGTTCCGAAGTTTCTTGTCGATCACCCCGAGAATCTGTTTCATGGCCTCGGTCTGGACGGCGCCGGTGCCGGTTGCGGGGTGCTGAGAAGCCGGTGCGGCGGCCCCGGCCCCCGCCGCAGCCTCGCTCCCGGAGGACCCCGACGGGGGCGGCGGTCCGGACGACTTGCTGCCGCTTCCGCTGTGGCTGGTGGCCGAGGGCATCTTGAGACCGTAAGGGGAGAGAAGAAAAAGCGGGAGGAAGGACAGGGCGGCGAGTCAGGCGGCGGACGGGGCGAGACGCGGGACAAAACGCGCAGCGGGCGGGAGCCTGCGCGCGCGGTGGGGGCGGGGCGGCGGCGCACGCCGCGAGGGCAGGAAGGGACGGCAGGCGCGCGCGCGACCCGCCAGCGGGGCGCCCGGCCCGGCCTCGCGCCGCCCCCCCGCCCCGCCCCGCCCCGCGCGGGCCGCCGGCTCGGCCTACCCGCCCCGGGCCACCCGGGCTCGCGCTGGGGGCGGGGCCAACGGCCGATGCAACGGTCTCCCCGGGGCAGGGCGGCGGGCACCGTCGCCTTCCGAGGCAGGGAGGGGAGAGAGCGTGGGGCTAGGAGGCGGAGAAGGGTGGAGAAGGGCCCCGGCAATGACCGCGGGGCAGGGATGGGGAGGAGACTAGAGGACCAAGCTCCTGGCGAAGGTCTAGCGGGGCCGAAGGTACAGGGCACCCGGGGCAGCAGCCCTCTGCCCCTTCTGCGCCTCGGTCCGGGGTGGCGCTCACCGTGCGCGCGCGGAGGCCGCTGGAGATCCCGAGCGGGCAAGGGTTGCGGTGCGTTCCGGGCTGTGTCGTGCGCTCCGAGGGCGCAGGCCGCTTCGCCCCGTCCCCGCTCCACCAAGAGCCGCTGCTAGTGAGACGGAGAGCCGGGAGCGGGCGGGACTTAGCCAGCCAGCCCTCTGGGGCCGAGGGGGCGGGGGAGGCAGCGGGCGGGGTCCTTCGCGACTGCCCCGGCTGCCCTGCGCGAACGCCTGTGGGGAAGCTCCCTCCCCTCCGCCCGCCCGGGCCGCCAACCAGCCCTGCCCAGGTGCCGGCTCAGGGAAGCGGCCGGTCTGGACGGCTCCGGGAGGGTACCGGAGCGGTGCCTTGAGTTTTGAACGAAATCGAAGCTGGGGTCCTTCAGGCGAAATCGCTTGACGTCCAAACGGGGACAATAGGTGTCAAGCAGCTGGATCTGAGGCCGCTACTGTCGAGTGTAAAGCCCTTATTTGGTGGGGGTGGGGTGTGGTGGCAGAGGTTTCTGCGACTAAGGGGTGCGTGGGGTGGGTGGTGCAATCCCAGCTCCTAGAATTCCTTGTGTGTGCAGACCAAGCCAACTCCCACACCCCAAAAGGTCTTGAGAAAACACAACTTTCCCTACAAAACAGTCACCCAGTAACCTAGGAATTCTCTAGAACACGTTGGAAATGAGCAACATGGGTGGCTTTTTAAAAGTCTTAAAACTCCAGGTTCATTAAAAATAATTGTCAGCTGCCTTAAGATGGCATTTATCCAGTCGGCCTGAGTATTGCGATGTAGACCTTTTCCCTTGTTTTAAATGCACCAGAAACTTTTAAGAGCATATTTAATGAAATAAACAATTTTTTTTTCCTCCAAGAGAATTACTACAGTCTTGTAATTAACCCAGGAGCGGGGTGGGTGTGGTTGAGGACAGTGAACAGAAACTGAGCCTAGTGCTGGAAGGAAATGTATTAAAAGGAATATAAACAGTGGGAAATTAAGCAACATAATGTAGGACAGCAGTAAATGAAAAATCCCATGGAAAAAAAAGAATTTAAACAGGATTCTACCAAACTCGTTGTTTGGAGACTGAAATGAGTAATACCGGCTGGCAGCAGTACATGCTGAGGGAGCCCGGAGAAGCCACTGCAAGCCCGTGGCCTCAAGATATTTCAGCTGCAAAGTCTGTCGTCCATTCATTCAAATCTGTGCTGTCACATGACTATGTGTTAAGAAGGCTTCACTGCTAGGGATTGGGAACAAAACAAAAATATCTTCACGGAGCTTACATTCCACGCGGGGAGAAGCTAAGTAAATGCATGTGAGATAGTGAAGCGGCAGAAAAAATAAACAGGGCGGTTAGGAATAGCCTTGCAGTAGAGTGACACGCAAGCTAACACTGAAGGAAGTGAGGAAGGCCAAGCAGTTATCTTGAAGGAAGCATTTTCCGGGCAAAGGGAGCACCAAGGGCCAGGTCTGACACCAGTGTGTGTGTGTGTGTGTGTGTGTGTGTGTGTGTGTGTGTGTGTGGTGGGTTGAACAGCCAGGAGGCAACAGCGGCTACAACAAGAGTAGGAGATGAGGTCAAAGACATAAAAGGAGGCCAGTCTTGAAAAGCCTGCTAGGCCATTGTAAGGGCTTCGGCTTTTGCCTAGTGAAATGGGGAGTCACTGCATGCATAGTTTTAAAATATATTTTATTGATTTTTTTACAGAGAGGAAGGGAGAGGGATAGAGAGTTAGAAAAATCAATCAGCCGCCTCCTGCACACCCCCTACTGGGGATGTGCCCGCAACCAAGGTACATGCCCTTGATCAGAATCAAACCTGGGACCCGTCAGTCCCCAGGCCAACGCTCTATCCACTGAGCCAAACCGGTTAGGGCTGCATGCAGAGTTTTAAGCGAGGAGTGACATGACCAACCTGTGTTTTAAAGAAATCCTCTTGCTGCAATATAAAGAATTTAGAGTGTGCATTAGAGAGGCAGGGTAGAGCAAGAGCAGACCCTGAGAGCCCAATCTGGAGGCTGTTGAAACAATATAGCCCAGAGATAGTGGTGGTCAATGTCATTATGTTACAGAAAAGGTGCTGACAGGTCCTTGGATGCTTTATACATTGTGACTCTAGGACGGATAGGGTTTGCTAACAAGTTGTATGTTAAGTGTGAGAGAAGCCAAAGCTGACCTAAGATTATTCAAGATCTAAGCACCTGAACTGTCTGCAAGCCCAGAGGCTAGAAAAGACCAGAATTGTTTAGCTCCTTGCAGCTTTTAGTGTACTCATACTGACCACTATCACTATCAAAATCTCAGACCCCACCCCAGACTTACAGAATCTGCATTTTAACAAGATCCCCAGCTGATTTATAGGCACACTAAAGTTTGGTGTGTGGTTGTTTTTTTTTGTTTTGTTTTGTTGGGTTTTTTTTGGAGGGGAAGGGGAGAACCACTTCTTTATTCCTTAGAACTTGACCAGTATCTTTCAGATCAGACATGAAATACTCTAGCAGGCAGATTCTCCCCAGACCTACGACCTACAGAACTAAACTCTTGGGGGTGGAACCCAGCAATATTTGTTAACAAGCCCGCCGGGGGCCTCCGATGCATGCTGATATATGAGAACCATGGACTTGGAGACCTCTATTGATCCAGGTTAAGAAAGACCTGCCTTTACCTGGCACATTACGATGCAGTAGCAGTTATAAAGCATAAAGTCTCAGGGTCAGCTAGATTGGGCTTTTCAAGAAAAAGGAAAGATTGTAGGGAGGGAGCAAGATAGCTAACACACACAACCAAGAATCTCATTTGGGGGGTCCATCTCACAGCCCAGTATATCAACATAGATTAAGTTGTACTGCAGTAACAATCTTGAAAACTCTGTGACTTAAAACAGGGATTTGAAAACTATAGTCCCTGGGCCAAGTGACCATCAGTTTGTGTAAATAATGTTTTTGGGGACACAGCCATATGAATTTATGTACATACTAGAGGTCTGTTGCATGAATTCATGCACCAGTGGGGTCCCTCAGCCTGACCTGCAGGATCAGACCAAAACCGGCTCTCCGACATCCCCCAAGGGGTCCTGGATTTCGAGAAGGCGCAGACCAGGCCAAGGGACCCCACTGGTGCACGATCGGGGCCATGGAGGGATATGGGAGGTTGGCCAACCAGGGAGGGGAGTAACCGTGGGAGGTCTCCAGGTTGTGTCCAGCCCATCTCACTCAGTCTCAATCAGCCAGACCCCAGCAGTAAGCTAACCTACCGGACAGAGCATCTACCCCCTGGCGGTCAGTGCACGTCATAGCGAGCGGTTGAGCGGCCTCAGCATATCATTAGCATATTACGCTTTGTTTGGTTGAACAGACGACCAGACACTTAGCATATTAGGCTTTTATTATATAGGATTACCACTGTTTTTGTGCCACAGGAGAGCAGAGTTGAGTAGTTGTGACAGAGACACTATGATGTGCGATACCTAAAACACTGTTTATTATATTTTTTAATTGATTTTAGAGAGGAAGGGAGAGGGAGAGAGAGACAGAAACATCAATGATGAGAGAGAATCAATGATCAACTGGAATCTAGCCCACAACCTAGGCATGTGCCCTTGACCAGGAATCGAACTGGTAACCTCCTGGTTCCTGGGTCAATGCTCAACCACTGAGCCACACCAGACTGGGCTACTGTCTCATTCTTTCCAGATGTTTACCAATGGCTTAAAACAAGTGGTACATACCCATCCTGGTTCAGCAGAGGATTCTGCTCATAGAGGTCACTTAGTACATTCAGAATGATGGAGATACCATATCTCGAGTGTTGCTGATTACTATGTCATAAGGAAAAAGAACTCAGGAATATCTGGAATGTCATATACTACTCCAGACAGATAGACTTGCCTCCTGTGTGCCCACACCTCAATGTCCAGGAAGACTCACACGACCCCATCAAACTGAGAGATGCTATTCTAATCAAATACCCAGTAGGAAAGTCAACTGAACCAGAAATATTTGATGAATGTACATATCTGTCCTGCTCTCACTTCCTACAATATGGCATCCTGATCTTGTTTCTTTGGTTTTTCTGACATTCTTGTAGTTGTTTGTTCAGATCAGCAAGTCCCGGGAGACCAATAAACTTAGGGCAAAGCAGTGTCCTGCCCAGCCAAATGCCATGGTTCCAGCAAACCAAATTTGTCTATTTCCTACAGGACAAAAATAGGACTAAAGCTATGTTTGTGTAAATTTCTAATACTTACTTTTTTTTTGTTTAACCTTTATTGTTGTTAATCCTCACCTGAGGATATTTTCCATTCTTTTTTTTTTTTTTTTTTTTTTTTTTTTTAGAGAGAGAGAGAGAGGGGAAGGGGTCTAAGGGGTAGAGAGAGAGAAACATGGATGTAAGAGAGGCACATCAGTTGGTTGCCTCCCGCACTCGCCCCTGACCAGGCCATGGATGGAAGATGCCCTTGACCTGAAACCAAACCCAAGAGTCTTTGGTGCATGGGCCAATGCTCTAACCATTAAACCACATCAGTCAGGGTGGGTTTGTTTTTGTTTTTTACCTTTTTTCTAATCTAAAGCCATGTAGTTCTTAGGGTCATTATATCACTGAAGAAATAGAAAAATTAGTTTTCCCAGAAACCCAGTGGGAGCACAGAATATGTCTATAAACAGAAAACACTTCTCCAAAACCCTTGGTATTAAAGTTCTGTCCATTATTAATATATTTAATACCACAAATCTCTCAAGCTGACATCCACTTGTTTAATTCATTAGACAACAGCAATCTGAAGTCTCCACAGTCAAGCGAAGTGAGTAACTGAACAACTTATCCTGATCATTTTGGCAAAATAGTTGAGCTGCTTCAACTTGAGTCACCCAATAAACCAATATCGAGTTTATTGAAGCAAAAGAAGGGAACTTTTCTCTGCATTATAGTAACTGCCTTAGTGCGTCAGACCGACAGAGACCTAGCCTCGGTGTGAACTATGTAGTTCAAACAGCTAAGGCTCTTGTTTTTCAGTCATTTTACAACTCAGCAGTAGACATTTCTATCCTAATTTTTCCAGTACTTCCTTTTTTTTAATGATAAATGTCATAATTATTTATGTGTTCATAAGCCACCATTAGACTCTGATATTTTCAGGGGAAGAAAGCAATTGTTT